GAAGTGAGCTGATTTGGTCAATCGATCAACGATGACCCAAATGGAATCATTACCCTTTAAGGTTCGTGGTAAGCCAGTCACAAAGTCCATGGTGATGTTTTCCCACTTCCACTGGGGAATAGGTAAAGGCTGCAGTTTTCCAAGAAGTCTCTGGTGTTCAGCCTTGACTTTTTGGCAAGTCAGGCATTGTGAGACAAATCTAGCTATCTCCCTCTTCATGTTCCGCCACCAAAATGTACTACGCAAATCGCGATACATCTTGGTGCTACCTGGGTGAATTGTATAGCTAGTATAATGGGCATCTCCCATAATCTCACACCTCAAAGCATGATCTCTGGGTACACACAGCCTATCACCAAACCACAGAGTCTCATTATCAGAAATTCTGAATTCTTGCATGTGGGGTTCCCTGGCTTTTACTTTTTCCTTCATCTTCAGCAAGAAGGAATCTTTTTGTTGGCCAAGTTTAATTCTATCTATTAATGCCGGTTGTGCACTGAGAGCGGCTAGATAAGCCGTAGTGCTGTCCATTCTCAACTCCACATCCAGTTTCACAAGATCCTCAAGTAACTCCTTCTGAGTGGCAAGGATGCTAGAGGCAGTGCTAGAGGACTTCCTACTCAACGCATCTGCTACCTTGTTAGCCTTGCCCGGATGGTAGCTAATGGTCAAGTCATAGTCCTTTAAAAGTTCAAGCCATCGCCTCTGCTTCATATTAAGCTCCTTTTGAGTGAAAATATACTTAAGGCTCTTGTGATCAGTGAAGATTTCACAACTCTCACCATACAGATAATGCCTCCAGATCTTGAGTGCAAATACTACAGCTGCCAACTCCAGATCATGGGTAGGGTAATTTTCTTTATAAGGCTTTAACTGCCGAGAAGCATATGCAATAACCCTATCTTTTTGCATCAAGACACATCCCAAACCCTTTTTAGAGGCATCACTATATATAGTGAATTTTTCCCCATTAATTGGAAGTGTAAGTACAGGAGCAGTGACCAACTTCTCCTTCAAGGTCAAAAAGCTCTTCTCACACTCTGGGGTCCACTCAAACTTGGTGTCCTTCCTGATAAGACGAGTCATTGGCACAGCAATTCTAGAGATATCCCCCACAAACCGACGGTAATAACCAGCCAATCCCAGAAAACTACGGATTTCTGCAACACTATTTGGCCTTTTCCAATCAACCACAGCCTCAATCTTCTAGGGGTCAATAGAGATTCCATCCTTAGTCACCACGTGACCTAGGAATGCAACATTGTCTAGCCAAAATTCACACTTCTTAAATTTAGCAAACAGCCTCTCACTTCTCAATGTCTCGAGGACTGTCCTTAAGTGCTTTGCATGAAGAGTGTGGCTAGAAGAATAGATCAAAATGTCGTCAATGAAGACAACCACAAACTAGTCTAGGTACTTGCTAAACACCCGATTCATCAAATCCATAAATCTGGCAGGGGCATTTGTCAAGCCGAATGGCATGACTATGAATTCATAATGACCATAACGGTGCGAAAGGCAATCTTTGGCACATCATCCGGTTTAATCTTCAACTGGTGGTAGCCTGATCGAAGATCAATCTTAGAAAATACTTGAGCACCCTTGAGCTGGTCAAATAAGTCATCAATTCTAGGAAGGGGATACCAGTTCTTCACAGTCACCTTATTCAATTCTCAGTAATCAATGCATAGCCTCATGCTCCCATCCTTCTTCTTGACAAACAACACTGGAGCTCCCCAAGGTGATACACTAGGGCGTATAAACCCTTTCTCAAGGAGTTCCTCCAGCTGGACCTTTAACTCCTTCAATTCTGCAGGAGCCATACGATATGGTGCTTTGGAAACGGGTCCGGTGCCAGGAACAAGGTCAATAGCAAATTCAACCTCTCTATCCGGAGGTAAACCTGGGAGATCCTTCGGAAACACATCCGGAAACTCACGCACCACCGGTATGTCCTCTAGTCTCGATGTCACACTATTAGCATCAGTAACGGAGACTAGGAAACCCTGGCAACCATTTACAAGATATTTTTGAGCCTGCAAGGTAGATACTAACACGGGTGGAGCAAAAGAACCATTGCCTTGGAAACTAAATTCTGGCTCACCAGGAATATTAAAAATTACCCATTTCCGGTGACAGTCTATAGAGGCAAAGTGTTTTGACAACCAATCCATCCCCAAAATGATATCAAAATCGGAGATATCTAACACAAACAGACTAGCACTCAGCCGTCTACCATCAATATAAATATCTACAGTCCTACACTTCTCCCTAGTAGTCATCACCCCTCCTAAAGGGGTGTCCACATGCAGTTCACAATCAGAGGTATCAACAGGCAAAGCTCGTTTCAAAATATAAGATCGAGCAATAAAGGAGTGCGGTGCACCCGAATCAAATAAAACATGCGCATAATCAGAGTTAACAGGCAAGGTACCCGTGATTACTTCGGTGGCCGCAGCTTCCTTATGAGTCATCACTTGCACTCTCGCATGCTGGGCTTTTGTCCAAACCCCGGTACTCTGTTTTTGCGCCCCTTGACTGGTAGAGCCCTGCAGAGGGGTAGGTTGAGTACTCTGGGCTTTGGGGTCTAGTAGTGGACAATTTGCAATCCGGTGTCCCTGCTTGCCACATTTGAAGCAAGCCCCAATAACAATGTGGCATTGATCCCAGGTGTGCCCAACCTTCCCACAAACGTGGCAAGTAAGCTGAGTAGGACGAGCACGTTGGGCTGTTGATGGTTTATAGACTATTAATCAAATGTTCCAATGAGAAAGCAAAATGAAATGAATAAAAATCTCACACATTAAGGAAAATCAAACAAGCGCCCTTAATTAACCCCACTCTCATACCTCACCACGTTCCTATCATTCCTTTGCTAGCCAAGTTCCAAACTAATCCTAGGTTCTTAAATTAACCTAGGCTCTGATACCACAAAATTTGTCACGCCCCAAAACCCGAATTCGAGGCACGACAGACGCCGTGCACTCGTGAGAGGGTCCCATAAATGCACAAGGCTCGGAACTTATTGAGTTCATACTTAGCAATTCAAGTAATTCAGATCTAAGCCTTTTTAATTACCAAATATTTACCAGTCATATGTACAAAATTTATCACTTCATATATACAATCATGACTAACACTAAATTCTGTACACAAAATTTACTATGTCAAGCATGGGTGACTAATGGCTTAGCTACGAAAACCTAAGTCCAAAAGTGCCTAGCCGTCTAGCTCGTCACTCCCCTGGGCTTCCCATGCGTCAGGTCTCACTACCTGAAATGGCGGACAAGGAAACCGCGAGATAAAAATATCTCAGTAAGTAAACATGGGTGCCCGGAATCAAATTTTAAAGCATGCCAAATAATCGGTTGAACATAAACAGAGCGTTTCAATAGCAAACCATTGATGCAAACTAAAATCACATAGTGGTCTCCTCTATTAGTCATGGCCAGTGTTATAAACCTCCCACTGGCAGGCACACGATTACTAGTGTATGATCCCACTAGTAGGATATCACGAGCGAATCGGTTCTATCACTAACATGTCGACATGTGCTAGCGTTTGTAAACCTCCCCCACTAGCGGGGTCACTAAATACATGACCACATCGGAGACAAAACCCAGCAAGATTTACAGAAAACCATGATTCACGATCGTTCTCACTTTCAACAATAAACCGAAGAATCTCATGTGGGCATGCTCAATTCTAGAAAATAAGGAAAATAATAAAAGTTCAAATTCCCTTTTTGAACATGCTCAAATGCAAATAAATCCATTTAAGCCTCGCCACCATCTCAGAAAACAATTAAAATATGCTTCAAAAATTTAAGGGCATTACCATAATTTACTTACCTTAATTTCACAAGACAGAGGGCCTAATCCGAGTGCTAAGATCACGGGGCAATCAAGGATCTAATCACAATATTTTCGAATTAATATCTATGTATATATAATTATACAATTACACATATACCATTTTCAAACTCATGGACAAGAATTTGGGAGAACCCGCCTTGACAAAAAAATGGCCAATTCACAGAATTCTCCCCTTTTTCTCTTGGACATCACACAACAATCAAACCCACTAATTTCCTACACAAATCATCAACCAAAACCCATTTTCAAATGGCCAAAATTCATCCCTATTTCAACAAAATTTTCGGACAACCAAAGCCCATTTCATACAACCACTTAAACTCACAAATCAACACTTAATCAACCAATTCTCAAAGATTAGAGAAGCTAACTTACCAAAAATTCCCAACAAGCAAAGTTGGAGCCGGCGGTAAAGGGAAGACAGACGGGAATTGGAGGAGCTTTACGCAGCCTTCTAGCAATTGAAAGAACAAAATTAAGATGAACCCACACATAAATCAAGGCTGAAAAGAAGAGTTTCTAGGCTGATTTTACCAGGAAAAACCGAACTCACACCCAGCTGTGGCCGGCGGCAGGGAAGGAAAAAAAGCAGCAGATCCAGGATTCCTGGGTTGACGGAAAGAGTTTTAAGCTTTAAATCTTGTTGTCTAACAAGAAAAGGGAAGGAATTTACCAAGATCTTACCAATTTTTCTTTGGTGGAGGCGCTGGAAATGGCTGGGTTCACTTCGGCTGAAGGGAGAAAGAAAATAGAGCAGACACGAAAATGGCTAGGAAGAAGGAAGGAAAGAAGAAAAAGAAAAAGGGAATGAGTCAGCCGGCCTTATCCATTAACTTTTTAACCCCTTTAAAGTTTGAAAAATTGACGGTTAGGTCCATTAATAATGTTTCCTCACCATTAAGTCCCTAACTCAACTTAATATTCTTGAAAATTTTGGGGTATTACACCTCCCATGGCCATCAGACCACTTGCATGCCGAATCTAACAAACCACCGCAGCCCTTTCTTTTTTTTTTTTTCCTTGATCATTGCTTTGCTGTTTTTCCTTTTTTCTGTTCTTTCTTTGTGTTGATGGTGATTTCTGGTTGCAAGCATTGATCGAAAAGACCAATCTAAACCCAAGAAAGATTTGGGTTTGTTGCGGATTTCAAAAAGGAGGAGAATGGGGTTGTTTGTGTTTAGGCTCCCAACTGGGTTATGGTTGTCTCTTCTGCTTTTGAAGCCCGTTTTGGGATTGCGACCAGTCAAAGAGAGGGCTCAAGCATGAGTTATGGTGTTTTTTTATTATCCCTCCCCTGAGTGATAGTAGTAGTAGGAAAAACAAAAAGGATCTGAGTTCTATCATACCAAAAGAGAAGTACACATTTAGTTCTATTGTTATTGTGGCATTAAAATCTATTTTTCACATTTTCTTTTACTGTTTCATAGCAAGTGGATTTAGTGTTTTCTGAACAAAGTTTGATTTCTGAGTCATGAATATGGTTGAACCTAACATTACATCTTTTCTCTTTCTATCAATGCATCTTGCAACGGCTATTTGTCAAAAAGATGGAAAGGAGTTAGGTCCTCTTTCTGCATTGAACATAACAGGCACATATCAAGGTCTGTAGCTCATTTTCTTGAATTTAGTCATCCTAATATTACTGCCATCCATTATAAACAAACTTATGTTACCAAGTTTCTTTTCTGATTAAATGGTATTTACTTGAATGTCATACTATGGGTAACTTATACCATTTTTTTTTTTTAGGCTTTGGCTCTATTGATCAATTCCATGTTGTTATGCTCTTCCCCTTGATTAGTATTTTTCTACTTCTACTTCATATTGAGCAATTAAATTTCTTGGACAATCTTAGTAAGATAGCTTTGATCAATGCCCATCAACATTGTAAAATAGGATTTGCATTTACTAATTCTGGAAGTTAAGTGGAGTTTTGATTGTTACTAGAACATGCACAAAAAGTTGGTTTTATTTAAGTGTTGCTTTACATGAAAAATATGAATAGTGACTAGATTAAGCGGTTAAATTGCATTGAAGAAATGCACTTCTTAGATTATAAATATATTGGGTAAACTTCAGGCAAGCAAAATATTGGGTGAGCTAAATAGATTATAAAGTCAATCATCCAATAAGTCAACTATTGGTAAATCGAGTTATCTCTTACTACTTGATCTTGCAAGACTTTTTCTGCAGTTGGTGTGGATCCTGCCATCATGGGTGTTGGCCTAGCTATTGCAATTCCAACTGCAGTTAAAGCTCCAAGGCTTGAACTCGATGATATTGATGTTTTTGAGATAAATGATGTAATATCTATTACATCATTGTGCTTGATTAACCGGTTTGTTTTAAATGAGTTTCTACATTTGAGTTTTCAAACTTCATTGTTCCTTACAAGCATTTGCATCTCTTTTTCACATTACACCTAATTTTTTTTTATTATTTTTATGCAATCAATCAATTTAATTCAATTCATTTATATGATCCATTTTCCTAAATTCTTACTAAAAAAAATATTCATAAACTTATGTTTATGTTTATGTGTTGAATTGAAAAAAAAAAAATCTAATTGCTATCAAATCTAATTTCTTATTAAAAATCTAATATTCATAACTGAAGGGGTTCGACAGCAATAAGTAAAAATAATCTACATCATTTTTTACCAAAAAATCTAAGCTCATCTTTTCCGCTTCCTCCCCACAAATTGAAACCCTATCTTCCTCATTGTTGCCAAATCTCCTTCCTCACCAAAGCCATGGCCATCGGACCCTTGCATTTTGGATCTAAAAATCATGAATTGTCGATCTTCATCATTTTCTCTTCTTCATTACTGTTGAACCCCTTCCTCACCAAAGGCCATGGCTGTTGGACCACTTGCATGCCAGATCTAACAAACCACCGTAGCCCTTTTTTTTTTTTTTTTTTGATCATTGCTTTGCTGTTTTTCTTTTTTTCTATTCTTTCTTTGCATTGATGGTGATTTCTAGTTGCAGTCATTGATAGAAAAAACCAATTTGAACCCAAGTGAAATCGGAGACATTGTTGTGGGTACAGTGTTAGATATCTCAATTTAACTGATATATTTATAGCTTAACAGTTCAAGAAAAATCATCCTACAATTTTTCTTGGATTTGGCATTTTAGATTTGCATTTCAGTCTAGCTCTCAAGTAATATTTTGCCTCTTTATATTATATAAATAAAGTTGCTTGACTTTTACATATCCTAAATTCAAACTTATGCAAAATCCTCAATTTCTATGCTATTGTGGTATAATCAAGTTTCTGATCAAGGCATTTATTGATTACCTTGATGCTTTGGCTAACACATTCTTGACTTTCTTTGGCTGATGATCCATATATTTACTGTGTTCATGAAATTGCTTTTTAACATGTCATAATGCAGATACTACATGCTATTAGCTGTTTGAATTTTTCCTAGGAGGTTTCATTGGATTTTAGCATCCTGTTTCTAATTATTTTTGCATGATGTTGAAACCAAAGGTTTTCTCCTTCTAGGTTTAACTTTTAGCACCTAGTCTTTTGTTTCCTGCTTTTTGTAAAGTTTCTAAAGAAACAGTTTTGGAGATTACTGTAGTTACATTTACATAGTATT